TATATACATGAATATCTGCTAAAAGAGTTAGTCTTTTACAATCATGTACTCATACAATTCATTTGTCACGAAAATTAATGAAAAAATGGCATTTTGTTCGGAAAAGCAAGGTGTACGAACAATTTTGTGAGTAACTGTATGTATTTATGATATAAGCCGATGGCGCTATATGTATTTGTCGTTACGACACTGTTGAAATGGAGAAACGCAACATGCGACCAATATCAAACAAGAGATTCGATTTTTTTCAAACAAGCGATCAATTTCGCTGGTGAAAAAATGGACAATTTCACCGGTGAAATTTTTTTCATTTCACCGGAACTTAGCTTTAATCAACAAAATTATGTTACTTTTAACTGCATCGCATTAAATGCCTGCGCAGCGCAGGCTGCGCTAATATAATTTTTCACTTGTATTGTTGATTATTTCAAGAGATGTAGCAAATATTTTACATAATTAAACCATAGTCTGACCATTGTTTATAAAATTATTTCCAGTTTGACTTATCGATTTGTCATTTCGTCACTCAATTTTTATATATTCGACAATAAATATGTGTTGAGATACGAAGTAATCGTGAAGAGTTTTAGAATGAGACTGAATCTTTATTGAACATAAATTCTTACATTCAAATCCAAGCCTACTTATATATCAATGATATATAATACAGAGTTTACTTTTATTTGAATAATAAATATACAAATAGTATATTCAACACTATCCCCTCAAAGAATGTAAACTTTAAAATAATCAAAATTTCTATCTCATCAAATGTTTAACTTTAAATTATTTCTCAATTTTGAAAACTTGATATTACTTAGTGGCTTAGTCATAATATCAGCTAACATTTCTTCGGTACAACAATATTTCAAATTAATTTTTCCCTGCTTAATGATCTCTCTAATGTAAAAATACTTCACATCAATATGTTTTGTTCGATTAGATATTTTTTCATTCGCAATCATTTTCATGCAGCTTTGGTTGTCTTCATGTATCGTTGTTCCGTTTCCCTGTTGTCGTCCAATATCAATCAGTAGATTTTGTAACCACAATGCCTCCTTTGCTGCTTCACACAATGCATAAAACTCAGCTTCAGTTGATGACAAAGAAACCGTCTTCTGTTTTGTGCAACTCCAGCTTACTGTGCCACCATTCAACTTTAATATGTAACCGCTGTTTGATTTACGGTCAATTCGATCTTCAGCATAATTTGCATCAGCATAGCCAAATAGCTCTTGTTTCTCTTTATCATCAGCCAAATATAATTTGTAGTCTTTTGTACCCTTCAAATATCTGAGTACTCTTTTTAATTCGTTCCAATCTTCTTTTGATGGTGCTGATACCTTTTGTGATAAAATACAAACAGCTGCGCTAATGTCTGGTCTCGTGTTTTTTGCCAAATAGAGAAGACTACCAATCAACTTTTGATAAACTTCATTTGATTCCAATGGAACTTCATTTGATGTTTTCCCATAACTCACATCAATTGGTATCTTCGAATTTTTAGCTTCAGTCATGTTGTATTCATCAACCAGTTGTTGTATGTATCTTCCTTGACTCACATTGTAAATATTACCAATTTTGTTGATTTCAATACTTAGGTAATATTTCGCTTCACCCAAATCTCTTATCTCAAATAAATCGCTTATTTGTTTTTGAACACTCTCTAACATTTTTGTTGAGTTAGAGACAAACAAAATATCATCGACGTATATCAGCAGCATGCATTCATCGCCATTGTCCATCTTTTTGTAATATAGACAAGAATCTGCACGATTCCTTTTAAACCCGATTTTGCTTAGTGCTTGATTGATTTCATCGTTCCAACACTTCGGTGCTTGTTTGAGTCCATACAAGCTACGTTGGAGTAGACATACATGATCCTCTTTCCCTTCTTCTTCAAAACCTTCAGGCTGCTTCATGTAGATTGTCTCTTGTAGCTTACCATTCAGGAAAGCTGTTTTCACATCCAAATGTTTGACGAAGAAATTTTCTCTCGAAGCAATTGATAGAAGAATACGAAATGTTGCCTGTTTTGCGACTGGTGCAAATACTTCGTTGTAGTCGATGCCAAATTTTTGTGAGTATCCTTGCGCAACTAATCTCGCTTTGAATCGATCAATTTTTCCTTTTTCGTCAGTTTTAACTGTGTAGAGCCATTTTGATCCAACAGCGACTCTACCCTTAGGCAATTTGCATAACGACCATGTTTGATTTTTTTTAGTGAATCAAATTCATCTTGCATTGCATCAACTCATTTTCCTTTGTTAGGATCATTCATAGCTTGAGTAAAATTCAATGGTGCTACAATTGAATTCAGCGAATTTGATGTAATTCCATAGCCATAACGTGTTGGTGGTACCCCTTTATTGGATCTGCTTGACCTTCGTGGTTCACGCTGTTCTGCAGTAGATGTGTCATTAGAATCAGAATAAATAATGTCATCCCAAATCGAAGATGATTCTTTAGAACTTGAATCAGTGGACTCATTCGAAGATGATTTTGGTGAAGTAGACGATGAACTGCTACTCGATGAATCTTCAATGACACTTTTGTCGATAAGTTGATCTGATGTTTTGAAATCAAATGTAACTTCTGATTCTTGACGAATAAATTGTACATCACGACTGTAGACAACTTTGTTGGTGGCTGAATTGTAGCATTTCAAAACGTTGTTTTTATGATAACCCAGAAAAATCATTTTTGTTGATGTATCATCAAGTTTGCGACGATTGTGTTTGAGAACTTTAACATAGCAGGAACTGCCAGAAATTTTTAATTTTCCTAAATTCGGCTTTCGATTGTTCCATAACTCATAGGGCGTTTTATTTGTACTGCGAGTGAATGTTCTATTTTGGTTATAATTCGCAGTCATAAGTGCTTCTCCCCAAAAAGTGTTTGGCAATTTCGCATCTTTGATCATACAGCGAATCATTTCGACAAGATAACGATTTTTTCTCTCTGCTATTCCATTCAATTGTGGTGTATCAGGTGCTGTGTATTGATACTTGATGCCAAGATTACGTAAATATCTCTGCAATTCATTATTCACGTATTCGCCACCTCTATCAGTATTGAAAACCTTTGGAACTTTGCCTTTTTGTGTTTTCATCAGCTCGATGAACTCTTTGGTCGTTGCATTTACCTCGCTCTTCTCACGAAGTAGATAAACCTTTGTGTATCGTGAATATTCATCAATGAATGTGAGAAAATACAGTTTTCCTCCAGGAGTTTGTGTCTGAAATGGACCACACAAATCACTGTAAACTACATCCAAAATGTCTTTTGATGTTTTCGGCTTCTCTTTTGCAAACGGTTTCCGTGACATTTTTGAAGAAATACAAATTTCGCATTCAGAAGAACAACTGCATGGTGAAATGATCAGTCCATCAACTAACTGCTTGTTGGCCATAATTTTAATTGCGTTAATATTGCGATGACCAAGTATCCTATGCCAAACATGAATGCATTTATCAGCTTGATTGCTACGATGAGTTATAGCTGAAATGTTCTGATGATTTATGTAATATAAATCGTTGCTCAAGTAGCCAACTGCGATTTCACGTTCATTCAGGAAAATTTTGCATTTTTCGCCCTCAAAGATCACCTTGAATTTCCTTTGATTTGTTAAATATTTGATGGAGATGAAGTTTCCATTCAAATCTGGTGCATACAGTACATTCGTCAGTAAAGCTGTCGTTACTTCTCCTTTTTCATTTTTTAGATGAATTCTACAAGTTCCGATTCCCAAGACTTTAACTCTGTAACCATTTGCTACAGTCACAAAATCATTCATTGGTTTTAGTGTTTCAAACAAACTTTTTTCATTCGAAAAATGCGATGTTGCTCCGGAATCCATATTCCATTCAGCTTCATTTGACGATTCAGGTTTTTGTGAATGGATTGCAAGCAGCATTTCATCAGTGTTTTCACTGGATTTTTTGTCAATCATGTCTACTTTGTATTGACTTTTTTTATTTTTCATTTTCTTTCTGCATTCATCAACAGTATGAAAATTTTTCTTGCAGTACGTACAGAATTTAACTTTCTTGCTTTTAATTTTCATTAATTTCTCATCATTTTCACTTGATGTTTGTGAACGATGTTTGCTTTCGTCCATCAGCTTTGCAGTCACAATAGACCACGTCAGATTGTCTCTGGATTCAAGTGAAGTATCAAGGTTTCTGTAACTCTCTGGTAAACTGCTAAGAAGTAATGCTGTTTTTATCTCTTCTTCGTTGAAAGCTTTTACACCTAAACCGTTCAATTTGACGAGGTAGTTCGTCATTTCTTCAATGTGTTCTTGCATTGTTGTTGAATCACTCATAATTGTATTGAACATGTTTCTCATTAGTGTCATCTTGTTAACAACAGTAGACTTTTGATGAAATTCTTGTAGAGCTGTCCACATTTCTTTTGCGGAAGTTTTGTCCATGATAAGACTGAGTTGATTGTCCTCTACAGCCAATGCGATTAAAGCTCGTGCAGTTTCATCTGATGAATTCCAGGAAGATAATTCCGTATTGTTAGTTGGAGCAGAATCAGTGATGGTCTTCCAAACTTTTTCTTTTGTCAGAATCATCTGCATTTTGAATTTCCAAATGAAGAAGTTGTTGTTGTTTAATTTGGTAATGGCAATTTTTGATTCCATTTTGAAGATGACTTTAAAAAACTCTGTTAATAGTAAACTCTTAATGCTGTTTCAGCGATGAGGCCCATAACCTCTGTTGAGATACGAAGTAATCGTGAAGAGTTTTAGAAGGAGACTGAATCTTTATTGAACATAAATTCTTACATTTAAATCCAAGCCTACTTATATATCAATGATATATGGTGGTACCCCTTTATTGGATCTGCTTGAGCAACGATTTATATTACATTTGTATATTTATTAATATGATCCCTCTGGTATTGAGTTGTTGATTTAACCTTCAAACCGTAAATTGGGCACTGTGTGCCCAAAACCAACTTTGAATGCTTATATCTTAATTATTTCTTATCATAAATTAATAAAATAACTATGGTTTGATTCGTTGAACATTTGGCTACAAAAATTGCGTTAACATACCCACATACGCGCACTAGCTTACCACATATGCGCGTAAACATGTGTGATACGCTATACGTAAAATGGCTGCCTGAGTGCCCATATACATTGTTCGACAAATTGCGTATAAAAATTAATGTGGGAACTATGAAATATACATCATTGGAAAGATCTTGAACAGTACATGTAATTCGAGTTATAAAACATCAAAATCGATCATCATTTTATCAAAATATGGCCATTTTATCAATTTTGACCGAAAAAATTCCAACGGCCAAATATTGGCCAAATGCCGGCCTATTTTAAGTTCTATACCATAAATGACATCGACTTTTCAAGAACTTCCTAGTGATATACATATTTTTTTGATCCAACCTGCCATTCAAAACATCAATTTTTGACGTCAAAATCGGTCATAGTGGAATTTGTATGTATACGTTTATGTCTTCATTTTTATGAAGAGATCAACATTGCAATCTCCACTTTATTGAAAAAATTCCAAAAAAACTTGCTGTTGTCTTTCGTATTTCGATTTTTTATGACTTTTATCACATTTCAAAGTCATTTTCATACTTTTCCGATCAATAAATACTGAAATATTCACATTTAAAAATGAAATTTTTTGAAAAAAATGACATTTCCCATATAAAATGCATTATGGGCACTCAGGCACCGGTTTTACGAACAACGTTAGAAAATACATTTTACGGTTTGAAGGTTAACTACAAAAAGGTTAAGGACTATCGTGAAATGAAATTGGATTGAAAATGACACTTCAATATTGAATAAAATACGACGGAATCAAGTTCGATCAAAAGGGAAGTTTGAACAATGGCAAGACCTTCTCCAATCCACGTTGGATACTATGACTGCAAAAAATTTTATTGTCCAGTCATGGGTCATTCGTTATGATCAACGCGATCACTTTGTAGGATGCCCACTTTGTGGCTTCTGGCTAGCGCCTTCTGCATATTTATTTTTTTAATTGCTCACAATCCGTGATGAAAAGAAACAAATATTTGACTTACGTTACACTATAGTGTAGGTCAATATATTGATAACTTTGATGTAGGCCAAACCTAGGGCCAAACGTCAATAGATTGTGATATTAGACAAAACCAGACCGAACGTAGATGTTATTGAAAAAAGGTACAATTTCTCTACCAATAAGCCATTGAACATGCAAAAAGACATATTTCATCCAAAACGGTTTAATGTTTAAAGAACACACATCAGTCAAAATCATTTCCAACTTAGTTCTTATGTTGAATGAATAAAATGAATTGTTCAAACTTTTGAAACTCAATGTGTTTGTGTTGTGTTCATTGTTCTCGAGTTTAAGAAATTAATAACAAATTGTGCAACATCAAAAGCGAAAAAATGTACTTCATTCTCATCGATCAATTGTTCTTCGGTTAAATGCATCGCGTAACAAGAATTTATGCGCTGACGTCATTTTCATCCAAAATT